GGGGGGGACTGGAAAACGTACTTTTTTTGTAGTGCTGTAGTGACTTTGTTCATGCCCATCTGAGTATGTCAGTGTGAATATAAGATTCTAAATTTAGTTGGTCCTTGCCATACATCAATTTATGCTTTCCAAGTGTGATGTGCTGAATGCAGGAAACCTTCCAGAATAAATACATGGAAATCTTTTCTTGTGCTACCTGCATCAGTGATTTAGCTTCCTTATTCTGCCCCAGATACCAGTGAAACAGTCTGCCAAAGAACTTTATAAAGTATTTTTTAAAAATATATCTTTATTGATTTCAGAGAGAGGAAAGGAGAGGGAGAGAGAGAGAGAAACATCAATGATGAGAGAGTCATTGATCGAGCCCGCAACCCGGGCATGTGCCCTGACCAGGAATCGAACCCTGATCGCCTGGATCCTGGGTCGACCCTCAACCTCTGAGCCACGCCCGGCCAGGCTGCCAAAGAACTTTAAAACAATAAATTAATAGTGGGAATAAACAGTTGTTTCTGTTATCTTTCAAAAATGGTAACTGGATTATTGGTGTGCAGGAAAATGTGTACACATCTGTGCGGTCAAATTGGCTGCCCTGGTTCCAGGAGGAAAGCCCTAAGGTAAGCCTGGAGATGAGATAGGTATTGATGTAATAGTGATTTCCTTAGGGATGAGAGTCTCTCAGGCATCCTTTGGCCCACTCTGCTAATACCACCATGCAGGAGCTCAGTAGTGATATCGGATCAGTGGCATTAGGACAGCTAATAGTGGCTCATTAAATATTTGTGCTTGACCAGCTGGAGGTATTTTAAAGCCCACTGAGACTCTGGAGCTCCAGCTTTATGAGTGGGTAAGTTTATATGAAGACAGCTAACCTAGGGTAAGTGCTGCTTGATTTCAATTTGGACGTTTATCTTTTTGTAATGTAAAATCAAACTCTACAGTGAGTAGCCATCAAGCTGAGCTCTAAATTATCCAGTTGTTTCTGAATTCATATGCATTTTCCTTACTGTTTTTGTCTTGAATGCAAAATTTTTATTACAAATATAATTCTATATAACAGATTCTAATAAACTATTTTTCTTTAGCATACAAACGGCTAGATGGTTCGATTGAATGCTGTAACAACCAAAGCCTCACAGATGTGTGCTTTTCCTACAGAAATAATTTTAATAAGCGTTTGGTAAGTTGTCCCTGAAGCTTTCTTGCTTGTCTAATACAGTTATTATATAATAAGCAGGTAGAGCTAAAATGGAATCTATGAAAACTTCTCCCTTTTGCTTTGTATCATTTTATTAAAATCTACATTTCCCATGTCACATTTCATCTGAGAATCTTTAAAAATTTATAGTGGTAATATCTTATTTGGACAAAGTAGTATACTTGAATCTAATTTATTGTAAGTGTACATAAATGTCATTTCTTTTACATGAAATTCTTTCTTAATATGCTAGGTGACATTAAAGATATTGAAAGAATGTAACTTGGTGATTTCCTTTTAATAAATCATTTTTGGTAGTGACTAATTAATATTTTATTCATAGCATACCTGCCTACCTGCCCGGAAAGCAGTTGAAGCCACCCAAGTTTGTAGAACCAATAAAGATTGTAAAAAAAGCTCAAGTTCAAGCTTCTGCATAATACCTTCTTTGGAAACTCACACTCGCTTAATAAAAGTGAAACATCCGCCTCAGATCGATATGTTGTACGTAGGACATCCACTGCACCTGCACTATACAGGTGAGTATTATGGTGGTAGACCCTCAGAAAATCATTAAGATGACATATATTCTCAGTGGTAGAAACTCAGTACAAATCCTTGCATTTGTTTGTTTGTTTTTTCTCTTTAATTTTTTAAACTTTATTGATTTGAGAGAGAGAGAGAGAGAGAGAGAGAAACATTGATTTGTTGTCCCACTTATTTATGCATTCATTGGTTGATTCTTATATGTGCCCTGACCGGGGATCAAACTCACAACCTTGGCGTATCAGGGATGATGCTTGTAACCAAGTGAGCTACCCTGCTGGCGCTGCATTAGTTTTATTTGTTATAAATTTGATCACTTTTCAAAGTCTTGTTAACTTGTTCTTATTTTTAATTTAAAAAAAATTATCAGTTACAGTTGACGTACAATCTTATATTAGTTTCAGGTGTTGCTAACATTCTTAAGCATTAAATAAAATTTAGGCAATAGGAAAATAATCTGAATTTACAAAAGCAAGATGGAGCTGAACCCCAGGTCTGCCTTTGGAGAGTAATACATTTTTCCTTCTCCTCCACTTATGCCCAAGTCATAGAGCTGGCCTCTCAGATAGTCTGTGAAAGTTTATTAAATTTATCCAAGCTCCCAAAACAGTCGTATGAGCAGCATACCCCAGAGAATACCAGGCATCGTAGGGATATGATGATAAAGTAATTTGTGCGTGATATGAATTTTATGTGAGCATAATTTTAAAACTGGCAGCATAGTTATTTGAACAGTGTACAGCTTCTCCATATGGCTGAAGATCATATAGTCCTATCTCATTTTGTTGTATAAGCCTTTTTATATTCCTTTTTAAAATAACTTACTGAAATATAATTCACATACCACATAATTTATGCTTTTAAAGGATACAATTCAGTAGTTTTTAATATATTCAGAGCTGTGCAGTCATCACCAAAATCTAGTTTCAGAATATTTTCACGTCAAAATGAAACCCCACTCACATTAATTAGTCATTTCTCCCCAGCACCCCTCAGCCTTTGGCAACCACTAATCTAATTTCTATTTCTATCAATATGCCTGTTCCTCACATTTCACATAAATGGAATATTTTGTGACCAGCTTCATTCACTTAGCATAATGTTTTCAAGGTTCACTCATGTCTAGCCTGTTCCAATACATCATTTTTATGGCCGAATAACATTCCATTGTATGGACAGAGCACATTTTCTCTATTCATTAATCAGTTGATGGACATGTGGGTTTTATGTTCCTCTTTAAAAGGCTCTCATTGCTTCACAGTCATATCCTAAGATACCACCTGGGTCATTCTTATTTTTGAGTTTTACAATAAGTGACTAGAATACAAATATTAAATACATCCTCAACAAATGAAGGAAGGTCCCCTTTTAGGGTAGTTCAGAAGTGTGTACTGTGTGTTCTACTTAATCACAAGAAAGTTTTTAAATATTTTGAACAAAAACAGGATTGTGGAATCCACAGAGTGGAAGAGACTCTAAAAATTCTCTAGTCTTAATCCTTCTTTTAGCAAGGAAGGAAAAAGAACGAGACCCAAAAGGTTAAGTGCACAGTAGTTGTAGTGAATGTGACTAAGGTTGTACCTCTCTGAAAGGGTAAGGACTCTTGATGTAAATTCTGTGTTTATTGCGTCAGTCTCTATATTTGGTATTCCTATTTGGTATATAGCCGGTTTTCTCTTATTCTCACCTCAAAATATAAGTACACACTGGGACATGAATTTCTGTATTCCAGTATTTTCATGAGATGTTAGTAGAATAATTGATTGTTTTTATATGTGGGGCATAGGCTGTCCTTTATGATTGGGAAAGGCTTTCTCAATCAGTTTAATAGGCTAGCCCAATTTTTGACTATATGGCAAAATTCATAATGTTTATCTATATGAATAATATGCATTATTCCTCTTATTTTTGTTTTTTAGTGAGCATCACCAGTTTTATCCCACGTTTTAACTTTCTAAGCATAGATCTGCCTGTGGTTGTGGAGACGTTTGTCAAGTATCCTTTCTGGTGTGAAAATGTTTTAAAAGTGTGTTATTTGGAACTTGAACAGTCTTACCTTGAATAGAGCATGCATAGACCTTACAAATATCAATTAGTAACAACTGAAAAAGAGACTTTAAGTTGAAAAAGATCAAGTTGTATGTAGGAGGGAAGTCATCAGAGGAGAGAGATTGAAAGGGAGGAAGAAAGTTGAAGCATTTGGAAGGGATGGAGCCCGGGATACAAACCTAGACTTGAATTGTAAAGGAAGAAAGCTTCAGTTACTAATGAGGTGATGAATTCCGCCTCTTCTGAGCTTGTTAGCTCTGAACAAATGGAGGAACGCATAAGAGAGAGCAAACTGGTTTTCACTACTAAAATAGCAATTCAGAGGGCAAAATCTCTTGTGTTCTTTAGCATGTTATCTTTGCATATACAAGATGAAATTTTTTTTAAAAATTATGTAGAATTTGAATAAACTGAACAGCTCAGAGGGTTTCTTTTTGCCACTTTTAAATCTTTTAATTTCTTTTATCAGTGACACTGGAAAAAATGAAATAAAAAACAAATGAGCAGTTACTAAAAAATATGTACAATCAAGATTGTATCTTGTAGATTGTAGCTTTGTCTCAGGGATTTACGCTCTAACCTTATAGATGATGGTAAAATGGAGTTATATAGTTATATTTACCCTATAACCTTATAGATGATGGTAAAATAGAGTTATATAGTTATATTTACCCTATAACCTTATAGATGATGGTAAAATAGAGTTATATAGTTATATTTACCCTATAACCTTACAGATGATGGTAAAATGGAGTTATATAGTTATATTTACCCTATAACCTTATAGATGATGGTAAAATAGAGTTATATAGTTATATTTACCCTATAACCTTATAGATGATGGTAAAATAGAGTTATATAGTTATATTTACCCTATAACCTTATAGATGATGGTAAAATAGAGTTATATAGTTATATTTACCCTATAACCTTATAGATGATGGTAAAATAGAGTTATATAGTTATATTTACCCTATAACCTTATAGATGATGGTAAAATAGAGTTATATAGTTATATTTACCCTATAACCTTATAGATGATGGTAAAATAGAGTTATATAGTTATATTTACCCTATAACCTTATAGATGATGGTAAAATAGAGTTATATAGTTATATTTACCCTATAACCTTATAGATGATGGTAAAATAGAGTTATATAGTTATATTTACCCTATAACCTTATAGATGATGGTAAAATAGAGTTATATAGTTATATTTACCCTATAACCTTATAGATGATGGTAAAATAGAGTTATATAGTTATATTTACCCTATAACCTTATAGATGATGGTAAAATAGAGTTATATAGTTATATTTACCCTATAACCTTATAGATGATGGTAAAATAGAGTTCAAGGGGCCAAAATCTTTGTTTCCTAACGTAAGGTAATACTTGTAAGGTTCAAAAATAGTTTTCTTTTATTTCTTATTCCTTCCCAAATTCCTTTCCTCGTTGTATCATTAAAGAATTAAGAAGACTTAGTCTTTCTAAGAATTCATTATAGAGTACCTTAGTTTACAAATGGTCGGCCTTTATTTTTCTAGTCAAGGTTTTTGAACTTTGAAATACTTTGTCATTTGTTTTAAATAGTAGCGATTTAAGAAGGAATGGCCTGTACGGGTGGGCACAGATTCAAAGAAAGGAGGGAAGTCACCTATAATCTCCAATCTAGTCCTAATAAAATACCTTCTTCTGACTCCAGGAAATGTGGCTTCCACCCAGACCTCGCAGTCGGTTCCTTAACTGATTTTAACCAGGTACCTGATCTCTCTCTCAGGAGCTCTGGCGATCGTTAATGCAGTGCCCTGCTTTGCTTTGGATGGACAGTGGATTTTAAACTCTTTCCTGGATGCTACCCTTACCTCAGTGATTGGGGACAACGATGTGAAAGACCTGATAGGATTTTTCATCTTGCTTGGCGGCAGTATACTTTTGGCTGCCAACGTGACCCTGGGACTCTGGATGGTTACAGCTCGGTAATACTTGCACTCATCTGACAGGATCTCTGAGTTACAACATACAATACTGAAACCATTACTCGGTATGAAATATAAAATGTTCCCTTAAAATTGCATTTTAGCCAACAACTTTTAAGCTCTTTCTATATCCAGAGTATCCAAGCTCTAGGATGGGGATAAACAGAAGAAATGCAAGGTCTACTCCTTGACTACATTTTAGTTTCAAAGGCTGAACTTATAAACTGCAGATGCTTGTGGAGCAGTTTCTCAACAAGTGCAGATTCTTGTTAAACTACGCGTACCGTGTCGCAGTATTTTAAAAGGAGAACAGAATTGGGTAAAATTAATTGAGGGGAACTTGTTGAAAAAGCATCATTAATCCTGATTTGAAGGAGACCAGACTTTGGCCAAGTGGAAGGGTGAGCATTTTCTTGGCCCATATCTCTTGTCCTTTGTCTTGTTTGAAAAGTATTTTAAAATTTAAGGGTGTATTGTTTTGTCCTCTGATAACTGAGGTTTGACTACAATTAAATTAATAAAATTTTTTAAAAGAATCTGCTGACAGGAAAGGGAAAATCTTTGTCAAATGATGCCAAATAAGTGAACAAAGTAGGAAATAGGACCTGCAATACCTTGAAATAGGTTTTTGCCCCACAAGAGTTACCTCTTTGATAATGCGTTTCCCACTCCCTCACAGCAGCACTCGGCCTTGACACTTAGAATGACCTGTAGGAAGTGTCTCCCACTTGCACCATATGAGCCAAGGCAGTTAGGGTTGAACCTCAGAACTGAGCTGGATCTTCCAACAGATCATAAGACACATCATAGGATGTCTGCAGTCCTGGTTACCACTCTCTCCAGAGCTTTGAAGCTTGGAACCCTTCCAGGGTAGACATTTTCTCTTATGCTGCTGGGGTTATCTGGGTCCTGGCTCCCAGGTTCCTGTCTTCAAGGAGCAACTGCCTTAAGCTCTGAGCTATGCTCTGTCCTCACCAGCAGCTCCCATGTTTGTCTCTGTTGGGCAATAAAACATCTAGTCCTGGCTTTCCATCTTTCCCCTGAGCTACCTCTCTGGGTCCGCAGAACACTTGGTAGTACAGTGAGAATGGCTACACCTGAGTACAAACGTGGATTTGCCGGAGCCTGGGAACCGACTCGTGCCTGAAAAAGCCCCGCCTAGTTCGAGGTATTTTGGACTGCAGATGCAGCCCTGGGAGAGCTGGAAAGGCAGCAGGCCACTGTGGTTTTAGAAGTGTATGGGATGCTTTACTTGGATGACCAACATGTCCTCATACGCTCAGGAACACTAATAGTCATGTATCCAACTTCTTCACTGAGGGAGATTAACCATGGGGTTCACCTTTTCCAGATCATTGTGTTGCTCTTCAGGCACTAAAACTTTTAAATCATTTTTAACAAACTCTTTAGGTTGTATTACACATTTGCCTGCCTTCTTAAACAAATTATATATTGAGTATGATTTTAACCTTTAATTAGTGACTTGAGGTCACCAGTTATTAGCAGTACTAAAACTGTGCAAATTATTGGTTTATCCCAGGACAAACGCATTTGTTCTGTTTTCAGACATTCATTCAGGATCAGAGTGTATTAGCAGAGTAATGTTCAGACCTGTTCAGGAAGAACTTGGGGAATACCGTGAAATACTTGCATAATTAATTCGATCACATGAACTAAGCAGCTTACTAATGATAATGTTGTATATGTGCAGGTAATTTTTTAGAAAACAAAAAATTTAATAGAAGAAATTCTTCCCATTAATTTTTTATTTTCTGAGTGAAAAATAAGTCCCCAACTACATCATTTTCTTGTAGGTTTTAAACACCTTGGGCTGTTGCTCCATAGGGTCAGGATTTGGGAGCCACTCTATTACGGTATTGAGCAAATCAGTCCCATTCGTATACATGAAAGAAATGTTACGTGTTGTCTCTTCAGCTTGATTGTGGGCACTTCTAGAGCAAGGACCATGTCATACTCTTTGCATCCCTGACACAGTGCATGAGACATCATAAATACTTAATAAATGTGGTTGAATGGGTGACGATTAGTGTTATTTATGGATTAGGAAAGCATGTATCTATTTAAGTAAGCTATACAAACTATTGAATATTTACTGTAAATATATGTTAACATAAAAAAAACTCAGAACGTCTGTGTGTCCCTGGTAGATTATCATCTTTATGAAAATAATCCATTTTGTTTTCTGTTGAGCAATTACAGAAATGAATTATTTCGAGGATTTGAAGAAAGTGTTCTTTCTGTGTCGTCACTTTGTTCAACGAAATTTTATTTTCAGTGTTCCTACTCTGCATTGTTTACATTTTTGAGGATTTTTAAAAATCACCTACAATCTGTAAAGAATGTATATATTCTTTTCAGCATCTCAGTTTGAAAAACCATGCGGTTAAACTTGACCTTTTGATAATCACTCTTGTAGGTCATTGTCTGTTTTAACATAAATTGTAAACATGTACGTCATGGATATGTGGTTCTCAGTCATCAGTTCGTCCTATGGTATTTATTGACTGTCCATATACTAGTGGTGCACAGAGATTTTTTCTCTAAATCTTTTGACTGTGCTGTAATTCATTCTTAGGATTTAACTTGAAGACACCATAGTTTCAGGCATTTGATGTTTAGTAATAAAAAAATAAATGTGTACCAGCATTCTATGTTTTATCATCATCTGTGTGTTGTCTTTTAAAAAAAATTGTATTATTTTCTATGAAAATTGTTTCCTTTACATGCAGTACCACCTTAGTTGTTTTTACTATTTTTATTTTTAGAGAGAAACATCAATGTGAGAGAGAAACATTGATTGGTTGCCTCCCATACGTGCCCCAACCAGGGATCGAACCCACAACCTAGGTATGTGCCCTGACCGGGAATCGAACCCACCACCTTTTGGTGCACAGGACAATGCTCCAACCAACTGAGCCACAAGCCCTGGCCGATCTTTGTTGTCTTTAAATTCTTGATTCTAAAAGCAGCCTTTAGTTTTCACTCAAGCAGTCTGTATGTGAAAGTTGTTGGAAAGAAGTCTTTTTAAAATAACATTCCTGTGCTCTCACTACTGTTTTGGAAGTGGCCTGTTTATGGATGAAGAAAGACGACTACAGTGGTGCCTCGGTTTTCGAACGTCTCCATGGACAAGCATTTCGGGTTACAAACACCCTAAACCCAGACGGCAGTGCTTCAGTTTTCGAACCTGCCTCGGAAGCCGAACATGCCCCGCGGCTCCCGCTGAGGGCGAGATCCTGAGGCCCAGCTGTGGGCTGCGGATCCTGGGTTTGCGAACTTGAACAGGCTCCAGAACGGATCACGTTCGAAAACCGAGGTCCCGCTGCATCAGGTTTCCTTTCATTAGTGTCCGACAGAAGTCTTCTTTAAGTTAGTCTATGTTTTTAGGGATTCTTGAAAGAAAAGTGTTTCGACTCTGACATTTGGTTCTTCTTGACCTTTGGCCCTCGTGCTTCCTCCCTTGTCCACAGAGCCTACCTCTCTCCCATAGGTACACGTGCACACACATGCAGGCACACGCGTGCTTGCACGCACACACTCACTCTTTCTAGGTTACTAAAGGCCGGATGAAACAGGCTGCAAATTCAGCCTGACTCCTGATTGCCTGGCCTCGTTCCCCTCCTCTTTCTTGCTTCTGATCCCATCAGACCACAGTTAGAGCCACGAGACTAGGTGACTGTTTATCTATCTAAACCACCTTTGTTATTAGCAGCTTTACTGAGGTGAAATTACATACCATGCTGTTCACCTGTTTGAAGTGTGCAGGTCCTTGTAAACCATTTTCTTTTAGTGACTAATCAACCAGTAGTATACATATGTTTAGTATAATCGAACCTTTAAATGAACACGTGATAAAAGACTGGGAAGGGTTTCTGTGATGTCACAGCTATTTCAACTTCGAAGTGGTTTTAAGCACTGGAATAGAGTGGAATAACTTTATATTTAAGGTGAAGCATGTGACATACTGTCTTTGAGACAATAAGCCTTTTTAATCAGTGCATTTGCAAGCTACCCTTATTGTTTAGGCCATACTAATTTGAATAATCCATTGTATAGTTATCAGACCACGGCAGACTAATTGAATGAAAGGAAAGCCTCTATTTCAGAACCTAATGCCACAGCAGATTATACTCAGGGTGGAGGCAGAAAAAAAATGGCTAAAGGAAGTCGCAGTTCTAATTACCAAGCAGGTTATATTGTTTGTGTAATTTAATTTCCCATTAAAGAGAGAAAAACACCCTCATATCTTAGTTTTATTTAGATAAAATTTTATGTATATTCAGTAATTGCCCCTGCCTATTAACTGTTTCTCAAATTTTCCTACTGAAGCATTCCTGACACTTCAGAGGAGGGAAAACCCAGAGGAAGCTAAGAGTAGAATCCTGTAATTGGCTCTCCATCCTATAAAGTTGAAGTCTCACTTTATTTTAAATTCATGTGAGTTTTGCACTCCATTAATCAGGCCTCATAAAGCCAGTTCTCTTAAAGATACGAAACTAAATTATAAAAGAATTAGACGCAAACAGTATTAAGATTTTCTTCATGTCTAAAACACATTGGTAGAAAGTCATTTATGAGATACGGTGTATAGACTAGAGACAGTCTATGATGGTGTTTTTGTTTATTATTGAAATGAGAAATAAAGCTAATGTAGATTGTAATTACAAAATTTTTTAGAAAGTGTGTGTTGCTATAAGGTTGCCTGCTGCCCTTTATCAAAGAGCTCTCTATTTGGAGTAGGGAAGACACTGAATTTCACTTAGCACTTCCAGATTGCTCTCCAAATGGCCCTCTCAGCAAAGCATGAGGCTTCCCTGTTTCCCCACACCCTTACCTCCACCTGAGTTGCCTGACTTCCATGTTCCGGCAAATCTGTTGGGTACAAAATAGAATTTTTTTCTAATTTGTATTTCTCAGATTGTTAATAAAGTTGCACATCCGTGTACTTGTTTAGCCATTTGAATTTTTTATTTTTAATCCTCACCTGAGGATATTTTCCCCTTTGCTTCTTTGGAGAGAGTGAAAAGGGGGAGAGGGAGAAAGAAACACCGAGGTGAGAGAGAGACATCGACTAGTTGCCTCCCACACGTGCCTCGTCCCAGGGGCGGGGAGCGAGCCTCCAACCCATGCCCCATGCATGTGCCCTCAATCAGGAACCCAAGACCCTTCGGGGTACAAACCGACGCTATAACATAACCACTGACCCACACCAGCCAGGGTGCCATTTGGATTTTTTCTGCTAATTGCTTATTAATATCCTTTGCCTGGTTTTCCATTGAGTGTTCTAAATTTTTTTTATTGATCCATAGGAATTTCTTGTATATCCTATATTAGGGGTAAAGAAACTACATCCTGCAGGCCAAATCTTGCTCACCACCTATTTTTGTAAATAAGGTTTTATTGGGTGGAACACAGTCACATTCATTCATCTATGTACTGTCTAAGGCTGTTTTCGTGCTACAAAAGCAGAGTTGAACAGTTGCAACAGAGACCATATGCGCCACAAAGCCTAAAATATTTACTAGTAAACTGTTGACAGAACAATCCATGTTCTAAATATCTGTCCCTTACCCATTTTAGATGTTGCAAATAATTTTTCCAGGCCATCACCCTTCTATAAATTTTATTTATGAGTTCCTTTGTTGAACAAGGATATTTAGTTTGATGTAGTCAAATCCATTAATTTCTTGATTCATTGTTTATATTTTGTGGGTCTTACTATAAAAGCCTTACCCTGTCCCCAAATCATAATGATAGTTTACACTTTCTTCTATTTGCTTTAGAGTTGTACTTTCACAATGAGGTCTTTAATTTCTAGAATACTATATGGTGGGAGGCAGGAAATTCAGGATTTTTTTCTGTATAGAGTAAATGATCTTTAAAATAGACATATTAAGTATTTTCCTTTATAAGATTGGTAAACACAAGTTTTACGTAAACTTCTTTATATGGTGTCTGGCATCCTCCAGTTATTATGTACTTAAATTATGTCTTTTCTGAATGCAGAATAATGACATAAATGTGACATAAATCTAACTAGTGTTAGATCTTGCCTCCCTTTGGCATGCCTTCTTGGTTTCCAGTGCCTTCAGGCTGGCTCTGGTTGTCCAGAGTATCTCCCAGCCGTGACCCTTTTAAATATTTCTTCTCCCAATCAAAAGAACCTAAAATGGTAATATTTAAGGTGTTGGCTAAGGATTTTGTTCCAAATAACTCGTGTTCATGGGTGTTTTCATTGATAGTAACATAGGCATTTAAATTTGGTCTGACCCAAACAGTATCTTAAAAGGAGGCACTATGACAAACAATATAGGAGAGAATTCAGGAGAGGATGGACTTTGAGGACTAAATCAGACAATAGGAAGCTACCTACTCTGTACAGTCTAGGATATTGTATTTCAAAATAAGCTTTTTAAACATGTTTATTTTCATTTGCTTTTTTTTTAGTTATAAAACAAGCTAAACTTTTTCTAATGTGTGTTCTTTTGTAGATTTTTTTATCAGCATCCTTCGCCCATTTTTCTCTGCAGTAATAATTACCTTCTTATACTTTTCATAATCCAGGACTCACAATATGTTTGCAAACATATTTGACTGTACCATGGCTTCTTTTACAGGTCCCTGACTTTCATTCTTTATTTCTTCCATTTCAACCACTGTTTCCATCTTTAATGGCTTCTAATTTTATTTCTAGGTTTTATGTATCACCAGAAATCTATAGTGGGAGGTAGCACTTTGCAGTTTACAGCATGTTAACTTCTCCAGTTCAAGGCACTCCTTCTCTGTTATGGAAATACCTAGGAAAAAGCAGTTTGTAGTCAGGAGTTTGCTTGGAGAGTATAGAACTGGAACAGGAGGAGATAGTATAATTTTTTGGCCTTTGTAGAAAAACAAATCTTACTAGAAAAGAAATACACTTTTATTATAGAAAATGTGTTAAATCAAAGCAAATTTTAGATAAACTGGTAAGGGGAGAGAGAGAGAAACATCGATGTGAGAGAGACACATGGATTAGTTGCCTCCCCCATGCAGCCCAACCAGGGCCTGGGATCAAACCTGCAACCCAGGTATGTGCCCTTGACCGGCAACGGAACCTGCCACCCTTCAGCACACAGGCCGCGCTCTAACCACCGACCAACACCTGCCAGGGCGGTAAGCTACCTTTTAAACTTGACAGTGTATTAAAAGCATTTTTCAATGTTATTAATATTTAAGTGTTTTATGATTGTTTTCAAACTTTCAAATCTTTAATCGACATGCAGTGTATTTTGATGTTGGTGCACAGTAGGGATATAACCTTGTGTTTTTTTATCCCCAAATAATTAAACAGTCATGATATTTCATACCAGCCAGGAAAAGGCCTAAATTTGCATCCTTTGGAGAAAATAGATATAATAAGTGAAATTTCTCTCATTTGATAAATCATCCTTACTTTTTCAATTCAGTAATACAATGAATTGAGAATATATCTCATGTATTTTAATTGAATAGAGTGCTTATATTATTTTTTGCTTTAAAGTATTTTTATTGAAATAGTGTTTCTCATTCCTAAACAATATAAATTAGCAATCTGGAGATTATCCTTAATATATATAATTACCTAAGGTACTGTTTTTAGCAGCTTCTTTATTAAAATATTTTTTGCTTCTTAGAATTTCAAGCTT